ACCTGCCCATCAGCTTTCCCAGGAAACCTGTTTGGAAACGAACCCTCAGAGGGCTAAAGAGTGGGGGATGGGCGTTTCAGGGTGAGGTGGGTTCTAGAACCTCCCATGGGCCATCTTCCTGGATGATTCTCAGTAGGACAGCGCTGAGAATCCTGTTCATCCACTTTGAAGATGTGCCACTGGGTGAGTGTTTTCTTTGTTTATTTTTAAAGTATGTTCTGATTGATTTGAGAGAAGAATGGAGAGGGGAGAGAGATGGAGAGAAACATCAATGATGAGAGAGAATCATGGGATCAGCTGCCTTCTGCACGCCCCCTACTGGGGATTGAGCCCGCAGCCCAGGCATGTGCCCTGCCCAGGAATGGAACTGTGGCCTCCTGGTTCATAGGTTGATGCTCAGCCCCTGAGCCATGTCAGCCTGGCTTGCTTAAGAATTTCTAAGTAGGGTCAACTGGAAAGGGAATAATGGATCAGCTTGTATCAGGACTATAACCACTAGATACATGAGTAAGTAAACATATCTGAGCCAAAGTCAGGGAAGAGACCGTAGTAGGCCATCCACCTGGGTTCTGAGTCTGGGAGTGTGGGAGAGGCTGCCCTGCCTTGTCTTGTAGACAAAAACCGTAATAAGAGGAACTAGACACCAGTAACAGTGAGAGAGGACTGAGCACCTGCCAGGCAGTTCCGTTGTAGACTCTCATTTCTAAATGCCACGAAGAGTCTCAGAGAGCCTGAGAATTGGCTGTGTTTGCTTTTTCCCCATCTCAAACTGCATAATCCGGGCCCGCTCTTCCTCTTCATATTTACTCACCCCCAAGTCCTGACTTTAAGATGTTTGTGGTCACGTGATGAAATTAGTAAATAGCTTGCAACCCTCGCATGGGTACGCCCTGCTGTGCATTCGCTTAGCTCTCGGGCAAAGCACAGGTCGGCATCATGCCTCCAATTAGGCGGTAGCTTCACCAAGAAGCTTACTGGAAAGAGAGAGAAGCATCCAGGACAAGCGAGACACACATTGGCCATCAATGTGTGAGAGAATCATGGATGGGCTCCTCCTGCACGCCCCCTCCTGGGGATGGAGCCCACAACCTGGGCATGTGCCATGACCTGGAATCGAACCGTGACCTCTTGGTAATAGGCTGGCCCCTTCCACAACCAAGGCTCTTACTGCCAATACCCAGCACCCCCACCCAAAGGCCTGCATCCGGAGCGTGATGAGACACAGAGAGGCATTGAAACGAAATAGGTGTCTCCCTGGAGGTGGGCATAGGAGGATGCTGGGAATTTTGCAGTAGGAACTAGAAACCCTGAGCTTAAACTACGCCCCCCCCCCCAACCCAGGTTGCATCCCCTGCGATTGCTTTTGGGGGCCCTGTGTCAGATGCGGCCAGATGCTCATGCTGACAGTCCATCCCGTCTCAAATAGCAGGGACATGAAGGCCAAGTCCCGTGGCTGATGCTGACACAGTTAGACGCCCAGTTGCCAACGGCACATCAGGTCTGACACCGGCCTCGAGTGGCGACCCCCACTTCCAATCACAGATGCTCTGGGGACTGGGTTACACTGAACAGGAGCGACGGCGGAGGGAGCCTCAGAAACCACGGCGGATGCGCTGTTTATTTCTCGGTCGTTGCGTGTGAAATTGCTGTGACTTGAATGTCAGCGGCATTTGGGATGTGGTAGTGAAATGAAATCCACGGCGGGCGTGCCAAGACAAATTTCAGGAAACCCCAAAACACAATTGTCTTGCTTTCTTGCTTGGCTGTGTCTGCACACACACACACACACACACACACACACACACACACACACACGGAGGGTGTTTTATTGACCTACAGCTGCTCAATGGGTTGGGACATCTTATGGACCCCAAACTGCTTCCCTCAAAAAGCTGGGGATGTCAGGGACAAGGGGCCACTGCACGCATTAGGCTTGTCAAAGTCCACGCCGATTACTGTAAGGCGATGGGAGCCCCGTCATTTCTGGGAAGGAGAACAAGGACTGTGTTCTATGCCTCCAGGCGCTGGGCAGTTAGAGCCAGTGCAGGCTGGGCATCCAAAGGCCTGGATGTCAGCTCTGCGCCTCTGATGGGGGAACTTTGCACTGAGTAAGCCCACCCCCCCACACCAGAACCCCTAATCAGGGCCATTCTTTTTATTTTTATTTATTTTTCTTTAAAAAAATTTTTTTTTTTTTTTGTGTGTGTGTTTGTTTTTTTACAGAAAGGAAGGTAGAGAGTTAGAAACACCGATGAGAGAGAAACATCCATCAGCTGCCTCCTGCACACCTCCTACTGGGGATGTGCCCGCAACTAAGGTACATGCCCTTGACCGGAATCGAACCCGGGACCCTTCAGTCCACAGGCCGATGCTCTACCCACTGAGCCAAACCGGTTTCGGTCCACCCCCTTTTTGGAGCGCACTCCCCCCCCCCCCCCACCACTTCATGATCAAGCTACTCCTGTAAATATTTGCAAGCGCCCCTTCAAAGCTCCAAAGCCTAGGACGCGATCCTTGGACGGTTTGCTTAGATGAAGGAGAAACAAAATTGACCTCGTGGTCCGTGGCTGCCTTAACAAGAAAGTATAAGGCCAAGGACCAGAAAAGGGGGGAGCGGGGTAATGGCTCGAAGTTTAATAAACACAAAAGAGAATAAAAATAAATCTCAAGAGCTCTTATTTGCACACTTGATGAAGGATGAGAGGGGGCGGGTGGGTGTTGCTGGGGGTTGGTGGGCCAGGCCTGCGGGGGTTGCATTGAAAGGTGGAGGGGGAAGTGAACTAGATGTTTACGCCTTTTAAGGACAGCAAACACACTGAGTGAGCCTTGCTCTTCCAGGATGTGCTTTCAAAGCCTGTGTGCAGCGTCTGATGGGGAGGCCACGGGACGATGCAGGCAGCCACTAGGAAGGGTCTGGGCAAAGCAGAGAGGGAGCCCAAGTGCATGGCCCCACCCCCACCCAGGCTTCTTGTCCTGGGTGCTGAGCTGGTTGGTGGACACCAACCCGTTCAATCACCTGGGCTGGGCTGATGCCTCCTGCATGCCCCCTCATGGGGATGAAGCCCGCAGCTTAGGTATGAGCCCTTGACCAGAATTGAACCCGGGACCCTTTAGTTGCAGGCTGATGCTCTATCCACTGAGCAAGACTCGCCAAGGCAGCAGCTACCTTTTCAAATTGTTCTGCTGGTGGCCCTCAAAACCTCCCTGCTTGTGTGAATGGTTGCCCTCCTTAAACACTGCCCACCAACTAGTTCATGGCCATCGCTGTGTCGGCGTGAATGCTTTCTTTTCTCAGAGACCTGGTTGCTTTAGATTTTTAAAAAATGTGTTTGTTTGTTTGTTTGTTTGTTTGTTTGCCATTGAGACTTTTGGCTCCCTCGGGTCACACAGTTGTCTCTGAAGCAGTCCCCCGTCAGAACATGGCCTGGACCTCACTACTCCCCATGAACTGCTGTCTGAGAATCCAGGGCCTGGCCACAGGGACGGGCCAGGCTCTGGGGCTGAGGCTGAGAAAGTGCAGAGCTTCTCAGATGAGGAATTCTTGGTGTGTTCCGAGCCTTTTTTTTTTTTTTTTCCTTTAGTGTAATTGTCAGGGCATGGATTTCTCCAGAAATCACGAAAGGTATTTATGTCTATTTTAAGATCGGCAAGATGGCTCATTTACTTAATAAGAACTTGGCCTTGCCAATAGCCAGATGCCGGAATCTTTCAAGGCTCCCATTGATGACCAGCCATGTAAACGGGATATTCGGTCAACTGTGTGTGCAGAGCCCTGTCCTGGGTACGCAGAGAAGAAGAAAGACTTGGCAAACATGGTCTTGCCTCTCAAGGTCCTTAAAATCCCACGGGGGGGAGGGGGAGGGGAGGAAAAATCAAAAGAAAGAAACACAATGCGGGAGTCATCAAAACGTCTGTCAAGAGCCATCAGCAACAGTGAAAGATTCTTTTGTGACCAAGCAAAGCCGTTCAGGAGTGGGTGGAAGAGGGTAAAGAAGGCATCAGAGTGGATAGAACATTCTGAAATAAGGAAAGAAAGTTTGTAAGGGACTTTAGAATAGGATGGCAGAAAGATCTGAAGCAGGTGGCCTTGCCCGAGGGAGGAGCTTCATCAATGGGTATTGTATAGGGTGCATGGGGCTGGAATCTGGACCCGTTTTGCTTTTGGTACGGCTTCCATTGCCATCTTGAAAGCAATGGCAGGCGATTACAAAATCATCACAAAACCCTAGCCACCCTGAGCTTGAAATCGTGGTGTGCTGTTTTATATGGCTCAGCACTGAACGCATGTGGGCCCATTCTTTCTCTCCATTAGCCAAGGTCCCCCCCCCCCCCCCCAAGGACATTATCCCAAGACTGGATGTCGTATCGCTGGTCCATGGGTATAGTTCTGTGTTGTTTTTCATTTCGATTTCCTCATCCTAGCTTAACGAGAGGGCGTATTTGGTCACATGTGTGCGAAAAAAACAAACCTTCGAAGCCAAAAAACGATGCAACACATGAACCTGGAGAGAGGAGGACATTTGGATGCCAACTTTTCAAGGAAAAAAAAATACATGGGCAAACTGCTCGCCATTAGGAGCTATTTTCCTGGCGTATGCGATTACAGTGTACGCGAGGCTGACAGCTCTCTCCAGCATCAACTGTCAGGACACATGCTCCAATTCATGGCCCTCTAGCATGTTCCACGGCTCTGCCAGCTTTCAAAGCGGAGGGTTCACTGCACGCCCACAAATGGGAGTTGAAAGTGGTTTGTTAATCTCCATTAATCCGCTGCTCCTGTAACCGAACGCACATGTTTATTTTATTTTTTTTTCCCCTAAATTGTTAATGGTATGAAATGGGCTATTGAAAACGAAATCGTTCTGTAGATATTTTCCTTATGGTTTCTTGAGACTGTCTCACAGCTGCACTTTTTTTTTTTTTCCTTTTTGAGAGAGAAAAACACACACACCAAACAATGGATTTTTATCATTTTCAATGATCGCCCTAACTTTTCACAGATGCCATCCCGCCCACATTGTATAGACCCTACTTCAGAATCGTCCGCTTTGACGTCTCGGCCATGGAAAAGAATGCTTCCAATTTGGTGAAGGCGGAGTTCAGAGTCTTCCGTCTACAGAACCCCAAAGCCAGGGTGCCCGAACAGCGGATCGAACTGTACCAGGTAACCTTTGTCTGGGTTGTTGGCATGGACAACCAGCTTGAAGCCTGGGTTTGTAAAAGTCTTTGTATTCCCTTTCTGAGCTGATATAAACCATCCTATACACCCACACTCATCACATAGACCCTCATACTCTGGAGGCAAAAACCCTTAGAATGGCGTGGTGATGCTCTGAGCATGAGTGACTGGGGTACCCACTCATTTAGTCCAGAAGCTCACCTCCTAATCTGGAAAGTCAGATAACCCAGGTCCAGCCCCACCCTAAGGAGAGAAATCACTGAGCTTCCTCTTCTCAACTTATGGCTGTTTTCTTTCTTTCCTTCCTTCCTTTCCTTTCTTTTCTTTAATATATTTTATTGATTTCAGAGAGGAAGAGAGAGAAACATAAATGAGAAAGAATAATTGATTGGCTGCCTTCTGCATGCCCCCCACTGGGAATTGAGCCCACAACCTGGGCATGTGCCCTTGACTGAAATCGAACCTGGGACCCTTCAGTCCGCAGGCCGACCCTCTATCCACCGAGCCAAACTGGCTAGGGCTCTTATTCTTTTTTTTTTTTAAAAATATATTTTTATTGATTTCAAAGAGGAAGAAAGAGGGAGAGAGAGATAGAAGTCTTTGATTGGCTGCTTCCTGCATACCCCCTACTGGGGATCCATAGAGAGGATGTACTGAGATTAAAAATACGAAACAACTCAGTGGATCTCAAAGGCATTTTATCTTAGGTTTCCTGCCCTGGGTCTCAGGAGCAGCAGCTGCTCATTTTTGTAGTGACACAGACATCAGCTGAAGTCACCTTTGATGGGACCAGGAAAGACTGCCCTCTGAACCATGGCCTGCATGACGGTGTAGAAGGATTAAGGAAAACAGAGAAGAGAATATAGCCGGGGCCAGATGGAGAGGCAGTGATGCAGCCTACAGGCCCAGTCTTTATTTTATAGTCAGATCAACAGAAGAGAGTGAAAATAAAAGCTGTCTTGCTTTCTCCTACCTCTTACTCTAATTCTTGAATTTCATGCTCATTTCTTTCTTTTAAACTTTATTTTTTTCAGAGAGAGAGAGAGAGAGAGAGAGAGAGAGAGAAAAGCATTAGTTTGTTGTTCCACCCATTTATGCATTCATTGGTTGATTCTTGTATATGCCCTGACCGGGGATTAAACCCAAAACTTTGGTGTGTTGGGACGATGCTTCTAACCAACTAGCTACCCAGCCAGGGCCTCAGTACCCCCTTCAGTTTGCACTTAGACAATCACCAGTTCATCAAATGTGATGAAATATCATTTGCAGAGACCGGTTGCAAGTGTCTATAGGACAGTGGCTAAATCCTAAATGTTTACACTTGTTTATTTTTGGCTTCAAGCTGAATAGCAAATGTTAGATGATGTGTCAGATTTGAGGATGAAAGGGCAAATTGATGATTATGGAGTAAAATAAGTAAGTTTTATTGGGGAAAAAATATATATTTCTGCAAAAGATTTTAAACTACCCACACCCCTGAGGCTTTAGCATGAAAATACATGGTTGACGATGTAGGCCTGCTGATTAAAGGGACCCCCATTGCTGCAAAATGAAAGTTGGGGATCCTAACATTTTGGGGAGTATAGCACTAATGAGGTTAATGAAAACCCCCTTTCATAACCCCAAATACATGTGTGTGCATGCTATGCTCTCTCTCTTCCTCCCCCCCTTCTCTCTCTCTCTCTCTCTCTCTCTCTCTCACACACACACACACACACACACACACACACACACACACAGTTCAGCTTTCCTTTCTCATACTGCCCGAGGGCATATAAAAGTAAAAGCCAGCCAAAAAAACTGTGTTCAATTAGACTTTGCAAAAAGTGCTACTGGAAAGAAAAAAACCATTCAACGGTGCCGTTGTGCTAAATTTTACAGTGTGCAATCTCCTTAGTACCGAACCCAACCCAACCACGTCAGAGACACACATAGTATAGTAACCCCATCAAAAAAAAAAAAAAAAAGCCATGAAGTATAATAAGCACTTTGTTTGTTTAAGGCTATTAATATCTCGTAGTTGTTTATTTTTTTTTTTTAACCTGATCGAATGGCAGGCTTGTCTCCTAGGGAAATCGGATTGTTATCATTTGCATTAAGTTTGATGTTACCCAGGTTGGTTTACCTTGTGAGCAGATAGGACCCCAAAAACCGAATGCACAGTAGCTGTTCTGCCACACTCCCAAGAAATGCTAATAACCATGCGATTGTAACTGATATTCAGTGTTCTTTGGTGTAATGTGACTCAGCAACGGTGTTGATAATCGCTAATAGCTCCCTGTGTGCTGGGCGCTATGTTAAGTGCTTGGAAATTCTCTTTCTTGGTTTTTCTCCCTAATTTTCATTCCACAATGAAGCAGATTCACTAGAAAGGGTGAAATACAGTATAAAATTGCTCACACTCTCTGATGATGCTTTGGATATATATATATATATATATATATATATATATATATATATATATAGTCTCCTTAAGGGTGTATGTGTAAAATTCTAAAGAGTAGTTTCTTACTTTTTAAAAAAATATATATATTTTTACTGATTTCAGAAATGAAGGGAGAGGGTGAGAGAGATAGAAACATCAACAATGAGAGAGAATCATTGAATAGCTGCCTCCTGCACACCCCACACTGGGGATTGAGCCCTCCTGTCCACAGGCCGACGCTCTATCCACTGAGCCAAACCAGCTAGGGCCCAAGGGGTAGTTTCTACTTATCACTCTAAAAGGTGGGCTTTTTGATCCTTGATCGTGTGTGTTGTTCTATTTAAGTCTCTTGGTCCCTATGACTATGCCAGGCAGGGACTGGGGAAATGCTGGGAGAATAAGGGGTAAGAAGGACACAAATGATAACGATCGGATTTGCTCACATCCAGACTGGGCATTTCGAACATAACTCAACCCAGAGTGATGTATGAACATCAACCGTTACAGATGGACCGCGTCCCCTGGAGAAATAGATATTGAAGTCTTAATCCTTGAGACCTCAGAAAATGACCTCATTTGAAAATAGGGTTGTTGAAGATGTAATTGGTTAAGTTCAAAGGAGATCATACTGGGGGACGGGGGCGATCCTATATGACCAGCGTCCTTATCAGAGGATGTCTACATGAAGACAGAGACACCCAGGGAGAAGGCCACGTGAGAACAGAAGCAGAGGTTGAGGTTGTACAGCTTGAATACTCAAGATGGCCCGCCAATCACCAGATGCTAGAAGAGGATTCGGAAGCCTCCCTCACTCCCATTTAGAGGGAGCACAGCTCAGCCAACACCTTGGTTTCTTGCTTCTGGCCTTCACAGCTTTGAGAGTAAACTTCTGCTGTTCAAACTTCCAGTGTGTTAAGCCACACAGTCTGTAGCAGTTCCGGGAGTCTAACACCCATGAGGCAAAGTCTCCCTACACTCCAGCACACACAGCTGAGAAAGGATGAGAGGGCCCAGACAGGAAAGAGGATGCATCTTTTGGTTCGCCCAGCGCCTTGGTCGGCAAACTGTGACTCGTGAGCCACACATTGCTCTTTGGCCCTTTGAGTGTGGCTCTTCCACAAAATACCACGGCCTGGGCGAGTCTATGTTGAAGAAGTGGCGTTAGAAAAAGTTTAAGTTGAAAAAATTTGGCTCTCCAAAGAAATTTCAATCGTTGTGCTGTTGATATTTGGCTCTGTTGATTAATGAGTTTGCCGACCATTGGCTCAGCACATCTCTACACCTGGACTTTGTACTCTTACTGCTTAGTATCCCTCCCAGTTTCTCGGATGTTCATAGTTACCTGTTCACCTTCTCGGAGCCCCCTAGGCTGGGACAGGTACCTGGCTTCAGGGGCCTCCTGGTGCCCTGTGAACTCATGGTTCCACATTTCTGTTGAGAGGCCCGTATGCCCTTACTACGGCAAGAACTCCTTTAAGAAAGTGGGACCAGCTTCTTGTCCTGGGATGTAAGGGTCAGCAATGCCTTGCTCACAGTTGGGGCTTAATATTTGTTGAACTAAACGGGAGGAAGTGGGCTATAAAATAAATTCAAATGGGTAAATGAGGACCCAGGTGCATATAATCAGAGCTTTAAGAAGCCTTCCAGATGTTTCTAATGCAGTAATTATTCAGTGATTGAGTAATGACTAAGTGAATTAACTGATTATATTAAATGTTTTAGTGCATGTGGGTGGGGGAGGAGGAGGGGTTGTCATGAAGGTACACGGCTCCTGCACAGTCAGTGGAAGCTTTCTGGAGGGTGAATGTTGATGTATATTGAAGAATGAGGAAGAATCAGTTGTTTCTCCTGTGCATAAGCCAAGACATGCCTTCAGGAGTGGGCTCTGTTTGCATAAAAATAAATGTTGATATTGTCAAGATTTCAAATCAGAGAGTCAGATTCCTCCCAAATTAAGTCAATGAGTACTATTCTCGAAGCTGCTACTGTCAGCAAACCAGAATAATGCTATTGTTTCTATCTTTTCAGAGCTTGATACTCCATTGAAAGAAATTAACATTAACTCCCCCCCCCCCACACACACACACAAAAAAAAATTGTCCAAAAGTGTGCTGACCTTTCTTAAAAAGTAGTGCCCTAGCTGATTTGGCTCAGTGGATAGAACATTGGCCTGCAGACTGGAGGGTCCTGGGTTCAATTCTAGTCAAGGGCACATGCTCAGGTTGCAGGCTCAATCCCCAGTAAGGGGCGTGCAGGAGGCAGCCGATCCATGATTCTCTCTCATCATTGCTGTTTCTCTCTCTCTTCCCCTCTCCCTTCCTCTTTGAGATCAAGAAAAATATATTTTAAAAAAGTAGTAAGTTGACTGTCCTGAGAAGTCTTTGAAGACAGAGATGTTGGAGAATGAGCTGTATTGTTTTGGAGTAGATGGCTTCTAAGTGGCTTGCTAACGCTAGAATTTCATGGGACTGAGGTTGCTCACTCAAAGTCAGGCAGATGTGAGAGATGGTGCTCACAGGCAGGAGAGTGAATGTTTAGTTCCACATCTGTAAGTCCCTAC